AGGAGATGGGTACAAAAGATTTTCCAAGGCATTAGATATACCACGGAACACAGTGAAGACAGTCATCATCAAGTGCAGAAAATATGGCGTAACAGTGACATTACCAAGAACTGGACGTCCCTCCAAAATTGATTAAAAGACAAGAAGAAAACTGGTCTGGGAGGCTGCCAAGAGGCCTACAGCAACATTAAAGAAGCTTCAGGAATATCTGGCAAGTACTGGCTGTGTGGTACATGTAATATAAGAATGGTAAAAAAAGGGAGGGAATATATGGAAGCCGGAGAGTCCACTAGAATTCAAGAACAAAATGATGAGATGCCTCCAGAACAATCTGGAAGGGTGCTACCTAAAGCAATACTACAAAAACCAAGGAAAAAATAAAATAGACTACACACCTAAAAGGCTAACCTCAAAACGTATTTATTCATAGAAAACATACAAAGTAAAATCAAATTGCTTCGGGGACCTGGTGCTCACTCCCAATCATCAGGACCCCCCACCCCCAGCTTGGGGGGGAACCTCCCACAAAGGACACTCACGGATGGTACAAGAAGTTTCCCCTGTGTGCATACCATACCCGCATCTCCCCGATGGAAAGCCAACTCCCCCCCCAAACAAACACCCTCAAAGAACCTCCCAAAAACCCAAACAACCCTCAACAACCCTCCAACCCCCAAAAAATAACAAAACAATAACAGATCCCCGAGAGCACCTCCCAATGTACCCCAAAGCTCCTCCCACAATGACCCTCCCAAACCCAAGACCCACCCAGCCAGTCACCCCCCTCCCCCCCTTACAAGAAGGGAAAGAAGGGAGCTGAGGTGTGACACTAGCCCGCTATCTCCCCCCTTTTTACCACCTTCCAGGCGGACTGACCATTTGGAAACTCGGGCACTGCCCGAGGGCCCGGGGTCAGTAGGGAGCCCCATGAGATGCCCCTGGTACCTTTTTCATAGGCTTTTTTGAGTTTGGGCAAGGACACAGGGGCCCTATGATCCCTATTGCCTGGGGGCTCCATGAGTTGTCAGTCCGCCCCTGCCACCTTCCCTACATAAGTGGATGACAGATGCTAGATGGAAGAAGAGATCCCTTTAACTGATTTGAAGGTGGGTACCTCTGATGACATATAAACAATGACTGAAGACCTGTCTAACCAATAGCTCTGAAGAAGTCCCGGAACTAGGCTGGATGAAACACGTCAGCATGGTCACTCGCCCCCTCCCTCCATTCCCCACATCCCACCACCACACCACATGGTGTCTTCCCTATAAAACCCTACCAGCATCGATATGGCTTCCTGTCCATAATGCACGGCTGGCAGCTACTTTCGGACTTTCAGCAGGAGCCATTATAGGACATGGTCACCCACTGGGACTACAAGCTGTGGTTTGATGTACAGGACTTTGGTGGTCCCATCACACAGTGGAGTACTGGTGACCCTGTGTTGCTATCCAGGTCATATCATATATGCAGGCTTGCACAGGCTGGATTGGTCATACACATTGAGGTTGCTATGGCAGATACTCGGATTTCACCTCTGATTCATTTACGCTGGCCGCATTACTATTCATATCCTTTTGCTGACACGCTGATTGGATTTCATCCCGGAGGCTCACTTCTACTGAGTGTTGTGATTTGACCATGCCTGGCCATCAGCCTGTTTCCACTATCGCAGGCTGTCTGTCTAACATCTGATTCAGAGCATATTCATGGCACAGTGGACATACTCCGTTGGATAACATCGCAAATATACCTTTTCTTTTGGACTGGCCAAACCGGAACACTACATTTTTTTCCAGTGCACTAGTTACCTGATTGTTTTATTGGACTTTAGAGGCTACAGCCCTTCATACCTAATACATATGTTTTTCAGGTTTTCAGTGGTTCATCACATTGCTCATGTATTGAGGTTGTGTTCTATTGTAGTTTGTAACTATCCATAGGTATATCCCTTTGCCATGCTACTATGTGTGTGTCAGGGCTCCCGGGTATGACCAGAGGTGTGTGACTGACGCAGGGAAACGCAGACTTCAGATATGTTATAAAAAATATAATTTATTGACACTAACAATACAAACATAAACGCAGTGCAATACTAAAACATAACACAGTGCAAACGAGCCAAACCAAACCACCCCACAGATAACAGTACATACAATGCAAGCGTCGTCAGGCAGGCCGGGTCAATATCAGTCGGGCAGGTAGGTACAGGGGGAGCAAGCGGAGAATGGTCGGGGGTCACAAGCCAGGTTCAGCAGGTAGCGGGCAGCGTGGTACAGAGGGTTCAGGCAGAGGGAATGGTCAGGAACGAGCCGGGGGGGTCAGAGCAGGAGAAGTCAGCAGAGGTCAGATCAGGCAGGGTCAGCAACAAGACAGGAACAGGAACAGGATGCAGGAACAGGATGCAGGAACAGGATACAGGGCCCAGGAAAAACACACACCAAGGCCGAGTCTGCAGGTCTGGCCATCCCTTAAATACACCAGTAAAATCAGTTCCAGGTGTTTGACTGGCTGCAAGGTTGAGTCTCTGATTGCTGGGAGCACCCGCTGGCCAGCCCTGGTACTGCAGCTCATAAGGCAGGTGAGTCCCACCATTGCTGGCCAGTCCATTCCTGACAGTACCCCCCCCCCCCCCGCCACAGTCAAGGAGCGGCCTCAGGACGCTCCAAAACAGTCCTAGCTGGGCAAAATGTTCCACCGCCCGGGTCTGGTAACTGGCGGGATATCAAAGACTGGCACACACGGGCAGGACTCCGGGCAGCGGCACACCGGGCAGGGGCACACCGGGCAGAGGCACATCGGGCAGAGGCACACCTGGCAGAGGCACATCGGGCTGGACTCCGGGCAGAGGCACATCGGGCTGGACTCCGCGGGCAGAGGCACATCGGGCTGGACTCCGGGCAGAGGCACATCGGGCTGGACTGCGGGCAGAGGCACATCGGGCTGGACTCCGGGCAGAGGCACATCGGATTACCAGGCGAAGCAGCAGGCACAGCGGGCCACTAGGCGGAGCAGCAGGCACCGGGCCACCAGGCGGAGCAGCAGGCACCGGGCCACCGGGCGGAGCAGCAGGCACCGGGCCCCCCAGGAGTGGCAGAGCAGCAGGCACCGGGCCCCCGGGTGGAGCAGCAGGCACTGGGCCCCCCGGCGGGGCGACAGGCATCGGGCCCCCCGGTGGGGCGACGGGCATCGGGCCCCCCGGCGGAGCGGCGGGCGTCGGGCCCCCAGAAGGGCGACAGGCATCGGGCCCCCAGGCGGGGGGTGACAGGCATCGGGCCCCCCAGGCGGGGCGACAGGCATCGGGCCCCCAGGCGGAGCGGTGGGCGCCGGACCCCCCAGGCGGGAGCGGCGGGCGCCGGACCCCCAGGCGGAGCGACAGGTCTCGGGCCCCCAGGCGGAGCGGCGGGCGGGCATCGGGACCCCCAGGCGGAGCGACAGGTCTCGGGCCCCCAGGCGGAGCGGCGGGCGCCGGACCCCCAGGCGGAGCGACAGGTCTCGGGCACATCGGGCTGGACCCGGGCAGAGGCACATCGGGCTGGACTCCGGGCAGAGGACATCGGGCTGGACTCCAGGGCAGAGGCACATCAGATTACCAGGCGAAGCAGCAGGCAGCGGGCCACTAGGACGGAAGCAGCAGGCACCGGGCCACCAGGCGGAGCAGCAGGCACCGGGCCACCGGGTGGAGCAGCAGGCACCGGGCCACCGGGCGGAGCAGCAGGCACCGGGCCCCCGGGCGGAGCAGCAGGCACCGGGCCCCCGGGCGGGAGCAGCAGGCACGGGGCCCCCCGGCGGGGCGACGGGCATCGGGCCCCCCCGGCGGGGCGACGGGCATCGGGCCCCCGGAGGAGCGGCGGGGCCCCCGGCGGGGCGACGGGCATCGGGCCCCCCGGGGGGGCGACGGGCATCGGGCCCCAGGCGGAGCGGCAGGCGCCGAGCCCCCAGGAGGGGCGACAGGCATCGGGCCCCCAGGAGGGGGCGACAGGTCTCGGGCCCCCAGGCGGAACGGCGGGCGCCGGACCCCCAGACGGAGCGACAGGTCTCGGGCCCCCAGGCGGAGCGGCGGGCGCCGGACCCCCAGGCGGAGCGACAGGTCTCGGGCCCCCAGGCGGAGCGGCGGGCGCGGACCCCCAGGCGGAGCGACAGGTCTCGGGCCCCAGGCGGAGCGACAGGTCTCAGGCCCCCAGGCGGAGCGACAGGTCTCAGGCCCCCAGGCGGAGCGACAGGTCTCAGGCCCCCCGGCAGGAGCGGCGGGCACCGGACCCCCAGGCGGAGCGGCGGGCGCCGGACCCCCAGGTGGAGCGACAGGTCTCGGGCCCCCAAGCGGAGCGGCGGGCACCGAGTCACCAGGCACGACAGTGGGCTCCGAGTCAACTGGCATGACCGCTGGCACTGGGTCAGACATTGGATCGTCTGGCTGGACAGCGGGCATCGGGTCACCAGGCATCAGGTCATTTGGCTCGACAGCGGGCACCGCGTCATCTGGCAAGGCAGTGGGCTCCGAGTCAACTGGTATGACCGCGGGCACTGGGTCAGACATTGGATCGTCTGGCTGGACAGCGGGTATTGGGTCACCAGGCATCAGGTCATTTGGCTCAACAGCGGGCACCGCGTCATCCGGCAAGACAGTGGGCACCAAGTCACCAGGCACGACAGTGGGCTCTGAGTCAATTGGCACAACAGCGGGCACCGGGTCATCAGGTACCGGATTGTCTGGCTCGACAGCGGGCATCGGGTCACCAGGTATGACAGCGGGCACTGGGTCACCAGGCATCAGGTCATTTGGCTTGCCAGCGGGCACCACGTCATCTGGCAAGGCAGTGGGCACCGGGTCACCAGGCATTGGATCGTCTGGCTCGACAGCGGGCATCGGGTCACCAGGTATGACAGCGGGCACTGGGTCACCAGGCATCAGGTCATTTGGCTCACCAGCGGGCACCGCGTCATCTGGCAAGGCAGTGGGCACCGAGTCACCAGGTACGACAGCGGGCTCTGAGTCAATTGGCACGACAGCGGGCGCTGCGTCATCTGGCAAGGCAGTGGGCTCCGAGTCAACTGGTATGACTGCGGGCACTGGGTCAGACATTGGATCGTCTGGCTGGACAGCGGGCATCGGGTCACCAGGCATCAGGTCATTTGGCTCAACAGCGGGCACCGCGTCATCTGGCAAGACAGTGGGCACGAGGCACGAGAGAGTGGGCTCTGAGTCAATTGGCACACAGCGGGCACCGGGTCATCAGGTACCGGATTGTCTGGCTCGACAGCGGGCATCGGGTCACCAGGTATGACAGCGGGCACTGGGTCACCAGGCATTAGGTCATTTGGCTCGCCAGTGGACACCGTGTCATCTGGCAAGGCAGTGGGCACCAAGTCACCAGGTACGACAGCGGGCTCTGAGTCAATTGGCACGACAGCGGGCACCGGATCAGGTACCGGATCATCTGGATCAACAGCGGGCATCGAGTCAACTGGCCTAATAGGATCATCAGGCTGGATCAGTTCTTCATGCTGAGTAGAGGCATCCGGCTGAGTAGAGGCATCCGGCTGAGTAGAGGCTTCAGGCTGAGTAGAGGCTTCAGGCTGAGTAGAGGCTTCAGGCTGAGTAGAGGCTTCAGGCTGAGGAGAGGCATCAGGCTGAAGAGAGGCATCAGGCTGAAGAGAGGCATCAGGCTGAAGACAGGCATCAGACTGGGTACAGGCATCAGACTGGGTACAGGCATCAGGCTGGGTACAGGCATCAGGCTGAAGTGCGGGTGCCAAGGCACCAGGCTGAACCACGGAAGGCAGGTTCTCCGGTTTGGATACTGGCAGGATGGTATTGGTTGGAAAGAATTTTTGCTTTTTTCTGGTTTTAACTACTGGAGCACTGCAAGTAAATACAGGTCTGCAAACGAATGGAGCAGCTGGAGACAGAGAAGAGCTGGAGGATGGAACAGGGAGGGAGCAGTTGCTACAGAGGACTTCTTTACAGGGTTAAAGGCAGGATAGGTGCAGCGAGTGGGAACAGGGTACTGACATGCAGTAGATAGCAGGGCAGGAGGAGCTGTTGGGAATGCAGGAATAGAGCTTTGAGGAAATAGATTAGAAGCAGGACTGGGTTTTTGTAGGCTGACTGAGGCTGGGTGCAACAAATCTGTCCATGTCTGCAGTATGGGTTGAACAAAGCTGAGCTTACACAAAGCCTGTCTGACCAAAGACTGCACTGCGTTTATACAATCCCTTAGTGTCTGTGGTGAACATGCAGCATAATGCTCCAAGAAGCAATCCACATCATCCTCTAATAACCACACCAGGGACTCTACCTGGTTGGCACTAAATGGCGGCAAAAATTCATCCCTGCATTCGGGGGTACCAGATGAAACCAACTCCACACAAACCTGAATGAATGGCTGCACCTCAGAGAATTCTGTGCCCTGATCTACTAGAACATGAGCGAGCCGTATACATTCTAGCAGTTCATCCCGGGGATACTCCTTCAGAGTTTGATAAGCATACTCTCTGTCATCAAACACTAGCAGATATAAATACACAACTTCATCAAGATCCATCCTTCCCATCAACAAACCAAGATGGCTTCCCTGTGCAGCCACTTCTGGTCAGGATTGGCCTTGGTGTAATGTTAGGGCTCCCGGTATGACCAGAGGTGTGTGACTGACGCAGGGAAACGCAGACTTCAGATATGTTATAAACAATATAATTTATTGACACTAACAATACAAACATAAACGCAGTGCAATACTAAAACATAACACAGTGCAAACGAACCAAACCAAACCACCCACAGATAACAGTACATACAATGGAAGCGTCGTCAGGCAGGCCAGGTCAATATCAATCGGGCAGGTAGGTACAGGGGGAGCAAGCGGAGAATGGTCGGGGTCACAAGCCAGGTTCAGCAGGTAGCGGGCAGCGTGGTACAGAGGGTCAGGCAGAGGGATGGTCAGGAACGAGCCGGGGTCAGAGCAGGAGAAGTCAGCAGAGGTCAGATCAGGCAGGGTCAGCAACAAGACAGGAACAGGAACAGATTGCAGGAACAGGATACAGGGCCCAGGAAAAACACACACCAAGGCCGAGTCTGCAGGTCTGGCCATCCCTTAAATACACCAGTAAAATCAGTTCCAGGTGTTTGACTGGCTGCAAGGTTGAGTCTCTGATTGCTGGGAGCACCCGCTGGCCAGCCCTGGTACTGCAGCTCATAAGGCAGGTGAGTCCCACCATTGCTGGCCAGTCCATTCCTGACAGTGTGTTGGGGGTTGGGACATTTGATCTAGCGGGGTCTGAGGGGTAGGGGGGCGATAGTGGGCTAGTGTCACACTTCAGTTCCCTTCTTTCCATTCTAGGGAGGGGGGTGGCTGGTTGGGTGGGTTTGGCACCGTCAATGTGGGAGGAGCTTTGGGGTACCTTGGGAGATGCTCTCGGGGATCTGTTATTATTTTGTTTGGTGTTTGTGAGGGGGTTAAATGGTTGTTGAGGGTGGTTGGGGTTTTTGGGAGGTTCTTTGGGGATGTTTGTGTTTGGGGGGGTGAGATGGATTTCTATGTGATTTTACTTTGTACAGTATATTTTCTATGAATAAATATGTTTTGAGGTTAGCCTTTTAGGAGTGAAACATATTTTCTTTTTTCCTTGGTTTTTGTAGTGTGTGGTACATGTAACAACAATCTCCCGAATTCTTCATATGTCTGGGCTATGGGTTAGAGGGGCAAGACGGAAGACTTTTCTTATGAAGAAAAACATCAAAGTCTGGTCAAATTTTGCAAAAACACATCTGAATTCTCCCAAAAGCATGTGGGAAAATGTGTTATGGTCTGATGAAACCAAGGTTGAACTTTTTGGCCATAATTCCAAAAGATATGTTTGGCGCAAAAACAACACTGAACGTCACCAAAAGAAAACCATACCCACAGTGAAGCATGGTGGTGGCAGCATCATGCTTTGCGGCCATTTTTCTTTAGCTGGAACTGGGGCCTTAGTCAAGGTAGAGGGAATTATTAACAGTTCCAAATACCAGTCAATATTGGCACGATACCTTCTGGCTGCTGCTAGACAGCTGAACATGAAGAACTTCATCTTTCAGCATGACAACATCCTAAAGCATACATCCAAATCCACAAAGGAATGGCTTCACCAGAAGAAGATTAAAGTTATAGAATGGTGCAGCCAGAGCCCAGACCTGAATCCGATCGAAAATCTGTGGGGTGATCTGAAGAGGGCTGTGTACATGATATGCCCTCGCAATCTGACAGATTTGGAGTGTTTTTGCAAGGAAGAGTGGGCAAATATTGCCAAGCCAAGATGTGCCATACTGATAGACTCATACCCAAAAAGACTGAGTGCTGTAATAAAATCAAAAGGTGCTTCAACAAAGTATTAGTTTAAGGGTGTGCACACTTATGCAACCATATTATTTTAGTTTTTTATTTTTACTTCCCTCCACCTAAAAGATTTCAGTTTTGTTGTTCAACTGAGATGTATAGTTTATAGGTTACATTAAAGGTGGAAAAGGTTTGGAAATGATTTATCTTTGTTTCATTTTTTATATCACAGAAACCTGACATTTTAACAGGGGCGTGTAGACTTTTTATATCCACTGTACACTAGTTGCATTAAAAAATAACTAATAATTTTAGGCAAACACACTACACATTCATTGATGTTTCTTTATATTGTATATTTGCTTGGAGTTCAGCTCCATCTCCCTTCATCATAAACTGTGATGGACCACCTGTCACCCCGATTGGGTGATTCCATCAGAGAACTGCTTCCTCGCCACTGGGACACAGGACCAAGGTATTATAGCTAGGCATCGCACCCAAGACTAGGAGACATTGGCTTAGGTGCAAAAACTGGAACTCTGATTAGGTAAGAGCCTAATCACATTATCCTAAACAGCAAACAGTACAGCCAACAGCTAACAGTGATCTAATTAACAGTAAGCTAATCAACAGCCAAGCACTTAGACAATGCTTTGATTACTGTATTTTTCGCTCCATAAGATGCACTTTTTTCCCAGTGTCAGTGCGTCTTACAGAGCGAATATGGAGCGGCCGGTCTGGTATTTCCACCGTGTCAGAATACCAGGCCGGCCGCTCAACTCTTCTCTGCAGCAGGACTTTACCTGTTCCTCGGTCCAGCGCTGTACAGCTTCCCGTGCCGGCATCTTTAGTCCCAGAAAACGCCGGGCCATTAACAAAGCGAAACGCTGCTCGCGCATGCGCAGTGGGCACACGGCTGTCAGCCGAGTGCCCACACTAAAGGGAGGACAACTCCGTGGAAGTGAGAGCGGGTACCTGTCAAATTCAGGTACCCACTCTCCCTCCCCAAAGGTTTGCAGTCTCTGGTCATCTCCTGTACTGCTTGCAGTCTCTTGATCATCCCTTGTACTGTGTCCGCAGTCTCTGGTCATCTCCTGTACTGTGTCCGCAGTCTCTGGTCATCTCCTGTACTGTGTCCGCAGTCTCTGGTCATCTCCTGTACTGTTTCCGCAGTCTCTGGTCATCTCCTGTACTGTGCCCGCAGTCTCTGGTCATCTCCTGTACTGTGCCCGCAGTCCCTGGTCATCTCCTGTACTGTGTCCGCAGTCTGTGGTCATCTCCTGTACTGTGTCCGCAGTCTCTGGTCATCTCCTGTACTGTGCCTGCAGTCTCTGGTCATCTACTGTACTGTGCCTGCAGTCTCTGGTCATCTCCTGTACTGTGCCTGCAGTCTCTGGTCATCTCCTGCACTGTGCCTGCAGTCTCTGGTCATCTCCTGTACTGTGCCTGCAGTCTCTGGTCATCTCCTGTACTGTGTCCGCAGTCTCTGGTCATCTCCTGTACTGTGTCCGCAGTCTCTGGTCATCTCCTGTACTGTGTCCGCAGTCTCTGGTCATCTCCTGTACTGTGTCCGCAGTCTCTGGTCATCTCCTGTACTGTGCCTGCAGTCTCTGGTCATCTCCTGTACTGTGCCTGCAGTCTCTGGTCATCTCCTGTACTGTGCCTGCAGTCTCTGGTCATCTCCTGCACTGTGCCTGCAGTCTCTGGTCATCTCCTGCACTGTGCCTGCAGTCTCTGGTCATCTCCTGTACTGTGCCCGCAGTGTCTGGTCATCTCCTGTACTGTGTCTCTGGTCATCTCCTGTAGTAGGTCTTCGGTCTCTGGTCATCTCCTGTACTGTGCCTGCAGTCTCTCGTCATTTTCTGTACTATGTCTGCAGTCCATTGGTTCAGAATATTTTTTTTCTTGTTTTTCACCTCTAAAATCTAGGCATCTTATGATCAGGTGCATCTTATGGAGCGAAAAATACGGTAATTATGGAGTCCACTGCAGACAGCCCGGCAACAAGCTCATCCCTGAATACACAAAGTACATTACACATGCTGTCTTTCAGGTGTTTGCTTTCACTTATACATGTAAATCTGTCCATCATAAGACAAAACGCATACAATATCTGATCACATAAACATCACTAAAATGTGATGCATCAAGCAAAG